GTTCTAATTTTTTAAATATACATCCTTTATATTGGGAAAGCGATAATGAATATCAACAAAATGTTGAATGTATCAGTAAACTAAAAGTAGTAAATGACTGTGCTGAGCGAGGTGTGGCGCTTGTACAAGAATATAATACTTCATGATCGAAAAACGAAAGTGAGAAACAAAACATACTACAAGTGGTACAAGCTTATCGAAAAGTCCATCCGAATTGCAACAAAAACACATTGATGAATAATTCAATTAACTGTTTGCTTTAGTTGTACTTATTATACCGTTTTATAATTTGTTAAACTGTGTAATATGTGAAATAGAGTAATATATATTTTTGGTATTCGTACTTTAGTTATTCTCTTTGAGCAACCTTTAAAACTTATTTTATATGCATGTGCTTTTACATAGAGTTTTTTTAACTCATTTAGCAACTGTTCCGAAGGTAGGACAGATAATTTTTTAATTTTTAATTTTTGGGTCAGCCTAATGTATATCTACTCGTATATTTCGAAATAATATAAAGCAAATATTTTTCATAGAGATGGATATTGCACAGTTTATTGATAAGATTCGGGAGCAATCTCACATTTATGACAAAGAACTATAAAAAATTGCTAAAACTTTTTTAAACAAATATGCATCGTTTTTTCGAAATATACTAAAATTAGTAAAAATAATAATTCCACTATTTATATTAATGGCTCGTGAAAAATTTTATCTACGCAAAAAAAAAACAAAACGTGCAATTAGTACAAAAAATTGTACAAACAGTAGAAGAAACACAACTTGATTGAATCCATAATTTCCGAAATTATAGAAAATGTTGAAAAAAATAAACAATCAACTAAAGATTGTGGTTTAATTATACCACAAATAATTCATGACACCCTACAATTTTCGGAAAATAGTGTTGTTCTATCGACATCTATGCAGGATTCTTCAGATGAATACGATTTTACGTGGGTTTTATTAAACGTATACGAAAGGTAAGAAAAAACATTCCTATATGTTTATCTTACGATTATTGTTCTAAATTTTCGTATTAATCCAGTTTGTAGAAGCCAAAAATTTTTTCAAGTGTTACTTGTATTATCTAAAGTAGATAGAGTTTATTGGTGTCATTCTACAAATGTATTTACACACGTCCAAAAGCAAAGATAATTAAGAAATTTATATAATACAAGTAAGATGATACTATATTAACCCTTTAGCTACGAAGACCGTACGTATACGGTCTAATAATTTGTGTGCTTTAGAACGAAGACCGTATTTATTCACTTGTATCTCTTACTTAGGACGAAGCCCGTACGCATTTGGTCTGTACGTTTTCTTTAAATCCGTTGTACACAGATGGCACTGACTGCATAAATTAGGGTTCTGCTTTCTGTTCTGTACGAAAAATTACGGTCTTCGTCTAGGTGGTATAATTCAAATAGTGAGCTCAACTTTAGTTTCGTTTAGCACGTTAATGCTTTCTAATTAACGTATACAATGGCTCCTCAAAAAAATTTAACGCCTAAGCAATCGCAAGACATAGCAGATGCTATAATGGCTGGAAATGACAATCTTGGCGATATATTCAGTAGTGGTGAAAACGGTTAAATGGTATAAGAAACTTTTTTTCCATCTCATAGACCTTTGTCTTCTGAACTCTTATGTGATCTTTAAAATTATAAAAAAGAAGCTAATTGCCTTGGCGGACTTTCAGCTTATGCTGATAAGAGAGATTTTAGAAAAGTATGGCGGTACTAGAAGTACTGATAAAGGTAAAAATCATGTAGAGCATCCGCTAAGACTGAAAGAAAGGCATTTTCTAACAAAAATACCTTCATCTGAAAACGGGAAACCAGTTGTCAGAAGATGTAGAGTTTGCTCGAGAAATAAAAAAAGACGAGAGACCACGTACCAGTGCTTGCCCTGTCAAGCATATTTATGTGTCATACCTTGCTTCGAAATTTACCATACAAAGAAAAATATATAATTTCGTAAATTTTAACCACGGGAGAAAGCCGAATTTTTTATTTTGAAGTTTTTTTTTTTTCAGTTTTTGTTTATTATGAGAAATGTATTTTGTTTAATATATTTTTCGTTTTTCTTATAAATACTTAAATCATTTTCCTATAGTTATACTTTAAAACCTGCGTAGATGACCTGAAATATTAAAGTAAAATAAATCCATAACACTAAATTGAATATATCAACAAGGCTATGCGTTTTGTTAAACAAGTTGATATCATCAATATACATATCCAGGCTGTACATTTATTGCCCTGGTGATGCCACCTTGGTTGACTAAACATGTTTGGTTGTATTTCTCTTGATTCATCTTAATTTTGTATCCTGTGTACGAAGGACGTATGTTTACGAAAAATGGAGTCCTCGAAACGAAAACCGTACGTTTTCAAAACCAAAAAAGTGTCTCGTTTTAGAGGCAAGAAATTTTAATTCGAGCTTCGTAGCGAAAGGGTTAATTAAATATACATGACAATGATTGTATTAATTATTATAAGTCCACAGCAGTTAATGTAAAATATAATAAAGCAACTTTAATAAATGCGTTCAAATTTATGAAGTAAGTACTCATCAACAGAATAAAAGGCCTTGTGAAGTAAATACTTTTTAATATTTATTAAAAGCATTTTCGTTTCAAGACATTTAAATGTTTTTGGCAATGCATTATAAAACTTACAAATACAAAAATATGAGGTTCCATTCTTACCGAAATATTTTTTTTTAGCATTTATTCTGTGTTGTAGATGATTCCTTGTTTTTTTAAATACATTTTTGTACCTTTTTTGTTTAATTCAAGTTTTATGTAGTAAATGATTAGACAATGTGGTACCAACATTTTACATTGTATTACACCACTGAAGAAGTTACAAACTGAGAGTGAAAAAAAATACATCGGGTTGTTTAAACAAATGTGTGCATAAATTTGCTTACAAGATAATTTAAATAATGTTACTTTGCAGAATATCAGGTGAAAAATTATTAACTGAAAAAGAAGAACGTGGTGACGTTATTGCCAGAAGAAGAGTAGTTGATATTCAGTATCTCCTACAACAAACTGTTGGCCTTTAGGCAAAACATAGTAAAATGTGTACTATTGGGTTGTTAGAATGAAAATCAGAAAAAAGGGTTCGATTGGTTAGCGCTTTTGAATACGGATGTAACCTTTGTTCAAAAGATTTTTTTATACACTCGGAGAAGCCTGATGAACCTGTACTAAATAAAGCTGTAGTATGGGGAACGCTTGCAACTGGGAGTATTTACGACCATCTTCTGGAATTTTTTAGCGTTTTGGAAATTTCAATAATGTCTAAGACGATGTTCTATGACATACAGAATAAATTAGGAAGTGTAAGTTTGAATACATATCATTTTATTATTACTATGTTATCACAAAAAATAAAATATTATAAAATAAGAACTAATTGGTTTGATACTTAGTATGTATATAATTCTTTAAAAAATTTAGATGTGGGGAGACAGCAAAATCCCTGATATGGAAGAAGCTGCCATACAAGAATATGAAATAGCAAATTCTAAATATGAAGTTGATGATAATAGAATTGGAAATATCACGATGATTGTTGATGGACAATGGTCAAAAAGAAGTTTTGGTCATACGTATACTGTTGTAAGTTACAATAGTACATTTACATTTAAAACACATTTAAAGTTGATGCAGTCAATGAATGTTATTGAGCGCATCATTATTTTACCTTTTTTGTTGTAGGCTATGATGATAGGGAAGTTTTTATTTTTAGAAATAAAAAATAAATTTTGCTGCATATGTGCCCGTACCGAATCGAAGCAGTTACCACCGAAAGAAATGTCTGCTACAAAAATTGGACACAGTCAACGTCAGGGATGGAAGCTGCTATTTTGGTTGAAGGATTTAACAGCAGCATTCAAAATTATAAACTCAAATAGATGAAATTTGTAGGAGATGGAGACTCTTCCGTATTTTCAGAAATAAAAAAAAAAGTTGAGTATAGATATGAGGTAGGAAAAGTGTCAACTACTCAAAAGTAGAATGCATCAACCATTGCTTAAAAAATTTTAATAAGGCCTTATTTGAAATAACAAATTATACAAAAATGGGTTTCTCTTGAAACTAGAAAATTGTTTCTAAAAGAAAAATGGCATACTTAACCCATTTCGTCCCAATGGTGCATTTGTGAACCAGCCTGTGATTAGTTTTTTTTTCTTAATTGCTCTTAACGTAATACGGATTTTTTAAACATTATGTCATAGAATGGTGTTTTCAACTCTCTGTCATTTTTTATTTTTAAATTTTCTCACAATTTTTGGAATAATAACCTTCTTCTTTTCCTATATTTTTTTCCCTTGCGACACTTTAATTTTAATATTTTTTTTTTGTTGTTATTACTTAATTGTTTAGGTTTTTTTTTTTAATATAAATTAAGAAAGGTAGTATTTTTAGACAAATACAAATATTTTGTTGCACAATATTGGAAAAACATAAATAACCCTAATAATTTAAGACTGGTGCATTTATGCACCATTGGGACTCAAGTGTACTTTTTAAAATTTCAGTTTATAAATCAAGTATTATTCTAAAGCGTTTTTGTGCTTTTTCAATGTTGTAAATGAAATAGTACATCAAATACGTGCGATCTACATTTGTAGAAATTTGATTTTGGCTAATAAAACGTCATAAAAATATTTCTTGCATTTACTGTTAGGTGGATTGGGATTGCCTTTGTTATGTAAATGCAAATTATTCGTGATCTACTTACACCCAAATAATATCTCCACTAGCGATGCCGACAAAGTGCCGAAAATGCACATTATTTATGGGTAGTCTTGACCGGAAATAATAAACCAGCGACACCGACAAAGTGCAAGATGTGCACATTTAGAAATGCATGCTCTCATCTGTGATAAAATTTTCTCGTCATTCGCAAGTTTGTTGTGAAAACGAAAAAATCTGCTTCATTTGTTTTGTGTAAATAGTTGTACAAAAATTGTTAAAAATGGTGGTTAGACGATTTCTAACTCAAAAAGAATTGGAAGATGAATTAGAAGCTGCTGTTGCAGATTTGGAACATGATGGTGAGTAAAGTTTTTAAAGAATTTTTTTTAAGTAAAAAAAATCAGTTATAATAATTTGATATTTTTTTAGTCATCCTTGATGCAGTTTATGTTCCACCAAACGTTGACTATTTGACAGATGAAGAAGGTATTGACAGCGAAACAATCGGTCCGGAAAATCAACCCACGAGTTCTGACATTGCTGGGACATTCGAGCTGCACAATCTTGAACAGCACTTTGAAGATGAGTCAGCACTTGATTCATCAGACGAAGTACTTTTATCTGATAAACGACAGAAGTTGTTAGATCAGTTACCCAAGAACAATACGTCCAAAGTACAGTGGAGAAAAAAGAATATTGCGTACACTCATTCGCCTGTTTCTATTGAGATCGAAGATATTCAAACTATTAGGGATCAATTAGCTGGTAAAACACCATTTGAATTTTTTTTTCAATTTTTTGATGATGAAATGTTGAATCTAATTGTTGAATTTTCCTTGAAATACGCACGTGATAATAATCGTCACGATTTTTGTTTTACGAAGAATGACTTATTACGTTTTTTGGGAATATTGATACTTTCGGGAAATCATTCTCTTCCTCAAATAAAAATGTATTGGTCCAACGATGAAGACAAGGGAACTGATATAGTAAAAAACTGCATAAGTAGAAATAAATTTCAAAATATAAAAAGAAATTTACATCTGTCGGATAATAATATGTTGAATAAAGCTGACAAATTTGCCAAAGTTAGACCATTTTTAGATAAGCTAAACGAAAAAAACCTGCAATGGGGAATATTTGCTTTCAATTTATCAATAGACGAACAAATGGTACCTTATTTTGGACGACATTCATGTAAAATGTTTATCAAAGGTAAGCCTGTTCGATTTGGTTTTAAAATATGGTGTCTTTGTTCGTCTAATGGATATCTATTTTATTCATTGCCGTATGGTGGATCTCAACAACATAAAACTAAATCTAATATCGGCATGGGTGGTGATGTTGTTATGAACTTGCTTTCTGTGGTAAAAAATCCTTTTCACCATCAAATATTTTTTGATAATTTTTTTTCATCTTTCAAACTATTTGTTGCACTAAAAAATAAAGGTTTTTTTGCTACGGGAACAATAAGAGACAATCGCACAAACAACTGTCCTCTTGAAAGTATAAAAACCATTGGCAAAAAAGAAAGAGGAACATATGATTATGCGCTTGAGGAAAATTTAAAAATATGTTTGGTACATTGGAACGACAATTCTGTGGTCACGGTCTGTAGTAATAATTTTACTGTTGACCCAGTAAAACTTGCAAAAAGATACAACAGAAAAGAAAAGAAAGAAATACAAATTTCACAACCCAACGTGATTGCTGAATATAATAAATCAATGGGTGGTGTGGACCTACACGACAATGGGATTGCTAATTACAGATGTCGGGTAATGGGAAAAAAATGGTGGTGGCCGATATTTTCCAACGCTGTAGATAGCGCGGTGGTAAACGCTTGGAAAATATATCATATTGCAAATGAAACCAAATTATCCCAGTTGGAGTTTAAGTCTTATGTAGCATTGCGTCTCTTAAAAATTGATAGTGATAAAACAGTGACTCGAAAATCTCAAACTATAAATTCCATTCCTGAAATAAGGTTCGACAATATCGGTCACTATCCAATTTTACACGAAACAAAAGCACGGAGGAGGTGTAAAATTTGTCATAAACATACAATATATTTGTGTAAAAAATGTGAACAACACTTACATACGGCATGTTTTGAACAGTACCACAAAAAGCAGTGAAATTTAATTTATTCGATGTCCCAGTGGTACAAAAATGCACCAGTGCATTACTAAATAATTGTCAACCAAAAAATGGTTTGTGAATTAAATTAATGATTTAAACAATTAGATAGAAATATTTGAATGTATTTTAGGTTATTTTTCAAAAAAAATATCATTATAAAAAAAACTAATGTATTATATTTTTTTACACATAGTCCCGTTGGTGCATTAATGCACCATCATTTTTTTTTAATAAACTAACTACCTTTTTTAATTTTTTTTTTTATTAGTTGTATTGTAAATGACGTATTTGTTAATAAATATTAAAAAACAGATCAATATTTTATTTTAAACTAAGCTTGGGACAATATGGGTTAATGCCATTTACGCAAACGCCTTCGGTGACCTAGAGACATTAAAGAAGGACCTTAGAAATTGGAAGAAATGGGAAGATAGCACGTATTATAGGTTTTAGTATCATGAAGAATTACTATTTTTTAAAAAATGGGGTTAATTATTTGCAAATATTTTAAACCCCATACATTTTTTACAATACAGTATATTTTGAGCCATTTTGTGGTTTGTTATCCTCATATTATTTATTCATTGAAAACTAAAAAACAGTTTTCCAGTATCAAACTAAAAGAGTAGTCCGAACAATTATACAATTTTCGCTCGTCTCGGAGACCGAAACGTGACGCCGGATATAAAGTAGTCAAGCGTGTATCCCGATTAGCGTTGTACTGGGCTTAATTAACAATTACAAATACCTACTTATTAAACAGACTTACCTGGTTGTCGTCGCAAGGAACCAATGACTGCTAAAACTACACTGATATCGCATACACAGAACTAACGATAAACTATAACCAAGGATTACTTTAACACAATTTTCAACGTTAAGGAACAAAAGTTACATAAAGCAACGCTTTTATCACTACTTTTGCACGTGTAACCTCAACACCGAAGTCACAGAATAAAAATATCCCAAATAATTCCCAGCAGCAGTCACAACATGTTGTCAGCACCGTCATAGCCACAACATGGCCACAACTACTCGACTGCGCAGGCTTCAAGGATGCACAAAATGTAGCTGTACATCGAAACCCGAATGCATTCGATGTTATGGCTAATCCCTCGTTTAATAAAAAAAAATTACAGGATCTTTTGGATATTTAGTGTTTTGTTTCACTAGGTTTTCGAGGAGACGTTTGCCTAGAAAAACTTTAGATTCAAAATTCAACTAAGGCATGTTAGAACAAATCACAGAATTTTTATAAATCGGATCATAGACTGTTTTCACTTGTTTCAAGTTGTGTATTATTGGTTGCATATAAAGTCGACGTACAATTAAAAAAAATCATTTGGAAGTGGCCTTTCGTAACTACCCACAAAGTAAAAATGGATTTTGAATTATTAACGTGGATTTTAGAAAAAAAATCTCTCACTTGATATTCTGACATCTTAGATCACATTGAATTTAGCGTTCTTACGAGTGTTTCCAAGAACGCAAAACAAAAGATATTACATACAAGCTCACTCATTGCTCAATCCTTGCTTACGGTATCAGTAATTATGTTTAACCTAAACTGTTGGCGAGTAAATAATTCGTGTGTATGGAGCACGGTGGTAGAGTATAAGGTGTGGAAACAGGCCGCTGCAATTTGCTGAATAAAACACGCATCCCAGTAGGCTTATTTACTACGAAATAGTACACTAATGTGACTCGATCTTGAAATGTGTGGCAATTAGTAACTTTTATGAAATAGAAATATATCTGTGTCCTTGTTATGCTCCGTCTTTTCGACAGCAGGTATTTTTTGCTTCCAGTATGGCGATCCTGTTACTGTCATTTGGCCGTCAATTGCCTTGGTGGTAACACGTCTTCCACGACTGTTTGCTGGTTACCGGTGTCACTTTCTCGTTGAATAGGGCTGGAGTTACTTTGGGACTGGAATAGTGTTCTTTCCGGTCCGTTAACTCAATAATTCTAGTACAGTCTGTCGTAACCTCAAATTGTAAACACATCAACCTTTCGTTGACAGATAGCGAAAATTACTAGCCTCGCGCTATCTTTGTTTAACACATAGGTTAGGTTCCTCTCTGTCGAATTCCGACCACAGGCAGTTTGCCGTACTTTCTAAAAGTAATAGTAGATCTAGTGACTTTATAGTACACAGCGCTGTATGGCCACCTATCGATCAACATTTCAACTTGGTCCGTGTATTTATGAATGAATTAAATGACAGATCCGTTGAAAGGTGACCAATTGTCAGTGGTAAGGTTTAATGTGAATGTTATTTGGTGTGTGTGCAATCAATGAAACAATAACGGCAATAATTGTTCTCGTGTTTGAGTTCCACACATTTATAGCACTACGTTATAAATTTCCTTGGTAAAATTTTACAAAACACACTTCTCGATTTCGCACAAACTGTTTGCATAAAAGTCTTCTACAGCACCTTCTAATCACGCTCCTCATCTTCACATACTTCCTTTTACCACAAAAAATGTTAAATTTCAAATTCGTGCACTCTTTAATAGCAGCTGTTGCTAACATAACCTAACTTTTTACAGTCACCAACACCTGTGCGTGTAATGTCGGGTTTTTAGCACACCGTTACAAGCATACTTCTAAACGTGGAACTTCTTGCTTCGTGGATCATTTAGTTAGTGGAATTCGTGCAAGTTAAACTGTGTGCGTAGTTGGTTGCCTACATTTAGGGTGCAAACTATAGGGCGAACACTGAATATTTTTTTCAAACACAAGGAGGCATCTGCACAACTTTTGAAGATGAGAAACGTGATCAAGGGGTGATGTAGAGGAGTTTTGCACTAATAGTTTGTGCGAAATCGAGAAATGCGTTTTGTAAAATTTTTCCATTTCCTTAAATATTAGATAGGCTTTTAGCTTTTGGCTCTGCAGGTGAATCACCTTTTAGACTGCTAGAGTAGATCGACATAGAGTCCTTCCATTTTTATATTCATTAAAAACGACGATACAAACATTACCGTATTAACTAGTTGTAAAATACACACCTATATTTAGAAAAGTCTGTCATTTGAATGAAATAGATATGTGATAAAACTTTCAAAGCAAATATTAACAAATTAGTAAAGACAAATGTTCAGGATGTTTCAGAAAATGTAGTTTGAACAAGAAAATTAAACTGTTTAATCAACTACTAGCCGTTACTCGGCATGCGTTGCAATGCTACTTAAAAAAAATGTTTGCGTTTTAATTCTAATTATTGCGATGCTTAAAATACATGAACGAATAATTGTAAAATGATTGGCCTAGTTCAAAAATCTTGGTGGCCGTATGAATAATAACTAATCGCAATCGGATGAATGGTTTACGAACGCATACGGGACAAACATTTATTTTTATATATAAAAGAAAAGAAGATTTACTGACATTTCGAACTTATTTCAATCTTTTCTGAAGGCTTTATATTTTGTAACCTTGTATTTACAAATTCCATTAATAAATGTTAACACAACCACAAAAATTACACAAATACTTGAAAACATTTTATCCAAAAAAAGACACACCTTGAAAGAAACCAATGGTTACAGTTCACGTCAGAGAATATTTAATAATAATTATTCAATCACATTTGCAAATATATGCAACGACGATGTTCCTGTGTTCATATCCAACGATATTTTGTCAGGAAATTAACATTTACATAATAATTAATAACATAACACAAAGTTAGCAATATGAAATAAAAGCATGTTCATGGGGTCTATTGACAATGCAGAGAATCTAAAACTGTCGATAAGACCATGAGATAAGACTATTATTTTGTAGTAGAGTATGCATCACCTGCATCTGAATTTTGACATTTTCCCAAAAAACGAATATAAAATGAAAAAAAGTGAAAACTAGTCAGTGCTGCTAAAATAAAAGAATCAGTTATTCTTGTTATAAATACATTGCCCCGTAAAATTAACGCAAAATTTAAACATTTTGTTTTTTTGATACTTTACGTTTTTAACAAAAGAAAAACATTTTTTAACAAAAACAGGGACACATGTTTTGCCTTTCTTTTTACGTATTCTTAGTTTTTGTGATAAATAGTTCTTTGCGTTAATTTTGCGAGGCAGTATATTATTGTAAATATAATGTAAGCTTGTAAATGCACATTGTTATAGTTGCGGTAATTATCGGTTACTTATTTCCACTTCATCATTTTTTATTTGTGTTGCTAAGTTTGCTATACTCTTTCATATAAAAGTATTACAAATCTACAACATAATTTTCCTTAAAAATCTTTTCACATTTGAATTGGCAATACACATACTGTGCTTGCAAGTGATTTTTTTTTCATTACATGAACTGTCTGCTGAGTAATAAATTGGTACCTAGTTCAAACTAAACTACTACACCACTACGAAATATTTAATTTAATATAAATCTTTGGTAGATAAACGTAAAGCACAAGTTTGTAAGGTACATATAATATTTAGTTGTTAATTTTAGAACAACTACTAGACTACTACCTACGATTAATACTAAACTAATTTATACATACCTATTTACAGGGTGTTAATAAATGATTTACGTCTAGTGAACTATGAAATTCATTTATTATCTAATATGCCACTTCATCTGACTTTTTGCTAAATTAATAATTAATGGGTTAATTAGTTCTAAAACATAGATTCTAGGAGGTCTTGCAAGGAAAGGATGAGAATGACAGGACAAAAGGAAAGGGAAACGTGGTCAGAAAAAACTAATATAACTTCTAACAAAAAACAAAATTAAAATAAACTTTAAAGGAAACATATCGAAAAAGATCAAATACAACATAAAATAAAGCTAATTTGATTTATAACAAAAAACAAAATGAAAAAAATATAAAATATAAATACGGATTTATTTTAAATTTTTTTATGGATCAATTAACGATTTACTCAAACCAGGAACCGGCGGTTTTAATTCCTTAACTACATACAATTTATCATCATACGTGAAAGTAGAAAAAACAGAACTGCCATTGTCATTTAACGTTAGTAGAGAAAAATTCCGATTTACTCGTAATCTTAAATAACGATTACCGAAATCAAATTATGACAAGCACCTTAAAGCACTAACGCGACCCACGCAAACGTAGGCACTTTTAAGACAAAATTCTGTTACCGAAATTTTGAATCAATTTATACACACACAGATTTGATAATTTTGAATACTCCTGCGAATGCAGACTGCATTGCAATCGCAATAAAATAATATTATTATTATAAAATTAAACGTTCAGCACAAAATGGTTTCGATCCATGAGGGCCAAATTCAAACTAGGAAATAAAACGAAACAGCGTATTATGAAAAAGAAATAGAATTTATAAATTTAAAAGTGAAACATGAAGAAGTTCTGTTCAAGGCTAAGCTGCGCCGTGAAAACGCAAGAAGAATACATGAAAAAAGAACATTTTTATTAAAACAACAGTTATTAAAATTACAAATAGAAAAATTACAAGATCAAAAATAAAACGTTTCAAATCTTAATTACCTATTGTTGTTACCAAAATATCGTTGAATAAATAAACGTCTAAAAATATTTCCTTGTTCATTTCTGGGATTGGGTCGAATAGGTTGATCGTCATTATCACTATCTGATTCTGACGAATCATCTTCAAAGTTATTGTCCCTCTCGAGGCGAATATTGTAAAGTATTGCTGTTGCAACAATTATTATTTTTGCAGTGCTTAATTTTGTCTCCAAGTTTGGCCTCAGTGCCTTGAACATGTTTTTCCATCGACCAAAGCAGTGTTCAATAACCACTCTAGTTCCTTTATGCGCAGGATTGTATCTTAGCTCTGCTGCTGTTCTTGGTTGTAGCAATGGTGTCAACATATATCGAGTACAGGCATACCCACTATCACCCAACAGAATCCCTTGTTTTAGATTGCTCTAAATGTGGAAACATTTTTAATTATGTTAGAAATACGGATACAAGGGGATAGCTACCTCAAAATCCTCTTTAATGCGGGAATTGTTAAAAATTCTAGAATCATGGACGCTCCCCCTCCATCTGGTTACAATGTCCATGATTCTGGTGTTTGAATCGCAAATAACTTGCACATTCAATGAATAAAAACCTTTCCTGCAGCAGTATAACAGCGGTCGACGTCCATCAGGATTCTTTATTTTAATATGGGTGCAATCAATGCAACCCACCACCCCAGGAAATGCCCTAATATTGTAAAAATTTCGCTTGAGCTCACGAAAATTTTCTGGCCAATTAACAAACTGAGGTAGTCGAGAAGCTAAAGCTCGAGCTACCTTTAGTACAATCCTACTCACGGAAGCCTGACTAACACCGTGCAGATCTCCTACACTTTTAGTAAAAAATAATACCCCTCCTTTAGCGGGAAGATTACCTGTTTCTGTTTGATAACTTGCTTTGGCAAAAAATCGTAGCGCTATGAGGAGCTGCATTTCCGGACTAATATTATTCGAATTGTAGGTCTGCAATCTTAAATCTTCTTTAATTAAGTCTAACACATATCGGAATGTATGTTTTTTTAATCGATAGCGTTTTATGAATTCCTTTTCTGAAAATTCCGCAAAAGTATTAATACGCGGACGGAAAACACCACGAGCACGAGCCAACGGATATATGTTGAAATTATTTTCAACTTCTTCAATAAACTGAATTTCTTGCAGAACGTTATCCATTTTGACCGATTTTATATGAATGTCAACATAAATAATTATTTAAAGACGGTTATGTCGTCGATTAAAATATTGATTAAAAAAATGTCTAAGTGACGTTATTTAGCGGATCAACATTGGCGCTGAATAGGCAAATTTAATAGACGTTGATTAAGGGCTTAATAGACATCCACTAAAAATAATCGACAGCGCTGAATACGGGCTATAGATTCTAGAAGATCAATTTATTATCGAAACATATTTTCGGTGTGGCTAAGAGAGTGATGGAGAATTGCCACCAAAAAAACTGTATTTTTCGACAGCGGCAATTTTTTTTTGTCAAGTGTTCGCGACCCGCTAGATGTAAATAATTTTTTAACACCCTGTATAAATATATAATTGTATATACAATTGAGGAATTGAGTGCTGTGCATATAATATACAAGTCATTTATAGCTAGTAATGCGTATTAAATCCTAAAAAATAATAAATAGAATATACTGTTAAATATATTTAAATGAACGACAGAAAATTGGTGTTTGTTAAACTTAAAAACGAATGAATATAAACAGTGTCAACTTTTAGTTCTTCAACGTAAGCTAGGGAAAATTGTAAGAGATTAATTTTCACGAATGACTAATATCAAGCCTTTTTGAGAGTTTATAACTTCTAAAATATGGAAAAATTTGTATAACTTCTTGACGCTTTTATCAGGCAAGTAATCTTCACAACAGATTGTTGTGAAATTCCAAACTTATTTTAAGACGGCAAAATGCTGACCAAAATTTGTCTGACCGTCCCCATCAAGGATTTGATGATTCAAAATTTTGCACTGCGTAAAACACATTCAAAGTATGTAATATAGTTTTTGGAAATTGTACAAAGAAATGTTACAATTTAATGTAAAAACTAAAAAACGACTCCTCTGAAATTTTGCACAAGCTAAATCGTCAGTTAGAATTTATTTGTTCAGTCTTTTCAAAAACTGTGTAAATGAAATTTGTAATGCGATAGCGCTTTATTTGTGGTTAAATAATGTATTTATGTTTTTAAATATTAATGAAATTAAATAAAATTAAAGCAAATTTATCTTAAAATTCTGGCAGTCTACTAAGTAACACTGATTTAATAATTAGGGAATAATTAAAATTTATATATTCGTCTCCTCTACAAAGTTAAATAGTATTTGTTAAAAAATGTAATTTGAGATACAAAATTGTTTGCACTTTGGTAATATATTTTTATTTTCTAATTCATTATGAAATTAGTGAATGAATCAATTGATTTTATTGATTAAATCAAATATGGTTTATCTAATTTTCCCAAAATTATAGAAGAATGCAGTAGGATAATTTTTTATTTCAACATGTACCTAAGAGTTATAATAAAAAAATAATAATTTTGCAGAATCATTTTTACTTCCCGAACGTAAGCTAAGGAAGTATAATAATCGAGTCCATCAGGCAAATTGCCATTTTTATATTTTCTCGACGTGTCATGACCTCTAGAGTACGAAAAAATGGGTCACCGTTTCCGTCTGTCTGTCTCTCTGGCGTCTGTATCAATTTTTCTTAGACACGTAATCTCTAAAACTACCAGACCGATTGTTGTCAAATTTTGCATGCGTATTAGGAATATTATGTAGATGGTTAAACGCTAACTAAAATTTTGCTAATCATACCCACCTCCAAATGGGATGACGTCTTTAAAATTTTTAATAGTAAGTTACAGACATCCAAAATTTTTGGAAAAAAATTCAAATCTGTATAACATTTTTTGCAATTTAACTTTGAAACTGCAAAACCAAATGCTCTGAAATCTTATAAATATATTAATGATCGTAATCATGGTTAAGTAAAATTTATTCTTTTAGCCCCTCCCAAAAATTGATGACGGCATCTCAAAATTTTGCCGAATAAATCCTCTCTGAAATATGAAAAATGTTATGAGTATGACTGTATACTTGCGGTTTATAGTGCACTCAGTATTTAGAATTACTTATGCATAGTGACTCAAAAAAGTAATGAAAGAGTAAATTTATCTATTTTATTGATTAAACTGCACAACCAATTGCTTTGAAATCTTGCAAACATTTTAAACTTATCGTAAGCATGGTAAATTTTTAATCAAAATATTTCCATCCCTCAAAAAATTGATGAAGTCATCTGGAAATTTTGCGAAATGGATCCTATCCAAAATGTGCAAAATATGATGAGTCTATACTTGTGATTTATCATTGCGTTAAAAGTTTTTAAATTTCTTGTGCAGAGTGGCTCATAAAAATTAATGAATGAGCCAATTTATTTTATTGATTAAATCGAGAATGGCCCAGTCCATTTTCCCGAAAATTTGAAAATACAATGCTGCTATCATTAGTATTATACTGCACCTATCCAAAGTGATACACGTGTTTTTGCAAAAATGTTAATGATGTCATCACAGTCTTCACAAAATTTTGTTACGGGAACCTTTTAAACGTACACTGAGAACGCTTCTTTACATTTACTAACGTTACATACACATCTTTATTTTAACTTATAACGGTTCTCATAAAAAAAATTAAATGTGCATAATCAAATTTTATCATTTTTCAGAAAAAGCTGGATTTGTTTTATTGTACTTCAAGGGCGAGGGAAGTTCTGTCGAAATAATCTTCGACCAATTTTATATAATTTATGTAGCAAACTGGATTGATGGTTTACTTGCTTGTGTTGTCATAACCGAACTTTACATCAAATATTTTGTCAAAATTGAGAATTCTATAACAAGGAAGTTTGAATGGAAGCAGCAGTGTATGGAAATTAGAGTGTAATTATGCAAATATTGCGAAAATAAATTTTTTATATCAATGACCAACTTATTTTTTTTTAAATTTTGAACTTTTCTTCATATGTGCACTTGCTTTTTTATACTCCGTATTGTGCTCTCGTGCAAACTGCTTCATTCTCATCCTTAAGTAATAATTAATTGTATAAACAACTAATTCATCCTTATGTTCTGCGCAAGGAAACGAAAAAGAAAAATTTTGTGTTAAATGATCTATTGTTTTCTCAAAAACATCTGAGTCATTAGCGTAAAGCGCAAATACTTCTTCAATCTTTAAAATTAAGTAAAAAAAGTCTTTATTAGGATGAATTAAACCTCCTTGTGTTTTTATATTAGTTAATTGAGCCACATTTTCACGTGAATATTGCTGTTGGTCATTAAGTATACTTTCCACACATGTGGAGCACTTGGCATACTTTTTAACTTGTTTGCACAAGTATCCCGTCACGCCTTACACAATCTTTCGCTTCGGCAAATAATATATCTGACTCTACAATATCGTCAACCTCTAAATCTGTTTCTTCAATTATTCCATCGAGTCGCTGTTTTAGACGCTCGATAGCCGAGGCCGACGTGGAAGAAGACTGAACATAAATATTTTTGATGTCACTAAGCGACAGTAAAGTTTTGGGGGCATTTGTTTCTGTAACCGTACAGTTTCCGTATTTTGGTGGCTTTAATACAGCGTATACGGATAATAATTTGTAGAGTTGCAAAAAGTAGGTGTAGCTGGGTGATCATTTTGACCTCCAGCCATTCTAATGGTCCCAAAAAATTTCTGAAAAAATCATAACTTTTTATATAAATATGAAAACTTTAAGCTATATACCTCCAGTGGATCCTGATTAATTTTACCAGTCAATAAGTAGGTAAAATTATACTTCTCTGACATGTACAAACAGAGATCCATTGCAGAATGAAGGGTGATGCGAAGTCCTTGTGCAGTATTTTGTGTCAAGAAGTGGCATTCTTCGACTGCTCTAGTCTTAACATTATTTTCCCAGTTATTGAGCCATAAAAGAGACTCTTGAAGAACTCGAAAATCTTTTGATGCTGGGGTCACTCCTTGGCGGGGAATCTTTCTGTTTAATGCATCGAACATTCTATTGATTTGTTCACAGAACGACACTGTACCCATAGAATCCTCCAGCCCATATACACCTCGAGATAGGTAAAATTTAAGGCCGTCTGCTACAGATTTACTGAAAATCTTTCAAAATGCAAACAGTTAGAGCATATACTTCCACAGAATTATAACACCTATGTATGTAAACCTACAATTTACACTAACTTTAAAAAGAAAATTTTAATCTTAAAACACCCACTAATAATAGAAATAATATCCATCCACCTTTGTTTTTTAAATGTTATTGCTATTTGACGAGTGTCAGTTAAATATAGTACCTGTTAGATTCGAATATTATATAGATAGGTACTGAATATACACTCAATGGCAAATAAAAACACTCACCGTGAAATATTTGCAAAACTGCTTTAAAAATTATTAATTTAACTACTAATAATTGTTATTTCTTTAAAGAGCCATTCACTGTTGACCCAGGAAACACAAATTAGCCAAAAAAAAAAAAAAATGGACAAACAAATATAGAGTTAAATTTAATTTAAGAAAGTAACAGAAACAGTGTGAAATTTCAGGGTGGTCGGTTTTTTGCCCGTCATGTTGTTTGCATTCAAATTATTGTTGTCCTCTAAAAGGAAAAATCAAAAAATATTTGTTAATACATATGTATTCTAATACTCTATACACAATTCGCTTTTCGAAATTATGAAATCATTTTATACCTGCGTTGCCAATTTGACCTTCATTTTTTCAGTTGTTGTTAAATTAAGATGCCTGTTTGTTAATTTAGGACATACTCGTAAATTTCCAGGAAGCTTCAAATCTTCATTGTGTAGAATTTTAAAATGTTCCCACTTGACCAATTCATCCTGTGGCGAAACCTAAATATATAGGATTTAATAAAGTTACTGCCCTGTAGTAAAGTGACGTGAAAACTTGCTTGTAAACTTCGGATGTTATAAAGTCTGTTTCTAATATTTTTTATGAGGTGCGGGGTGTCCGAAAACATAAATACTCGTCTGTTAGGGTCCAACGGGTGCTCGAGATAATTTTTCAATGAATCTTGCTTCCCATTGACTCCTAAAAGTGCCCATGCTTTTCTGTTGGTTTGTGCGCCATCAGATACAATGCCATGTACGTACGCACCAGCCTTTTCCAGCAATATGATAGCCTTCAAAATCAGTTGCGCGATTGTGGTTGCTTAAAATTATAGATAGTTAACCATGCAAAAACCAAGAGAATAAAACAAATGTCAAAATGGTAGCCTAAGTTGAAATACAAAATGCAGTTTGTGAACTT